TGCTCCATGTTACACCCTCAATATGGATGTAACATGGTATGAAAGGTGGAGTATACCCAGGGGCGTCCTGAGGCCAGGTATCAGATAGCATGCGTGGCCATCTGATTGATGCCTGCCATCTTGGTGATGGACGCCGGCAGAGAGAGGAGGGGACGTTCACCCGGCGGGATGAGGTATGCCGCTGGGTCCCCTCCTCTCTCCTGACACTGTCGGGTTTTCGGTCCATGACCGAGTGCCCAACTTTTTAGAGGGGGGTGACACCAACATGACTGACACCCCTGCAATGGTGACACCCGGGTGCGGGCCGCACCCACCTTGTGACGCCACTGAGTATACTTTTAAAGAGGACCTCCAGAGGTACCCTGGGGTAACTGCTCGTTTTGGTCTAGAGGCCATACTACAGAAGATATAGACACCCGATCCTCGGTCCAGCAGCAGCCGGCGCTCATCTCTCTCCCCCTCCGCATTCTCATGTCCAATACAAGTAAATAGGCTGCATTAGATGGGATGACATCAGCTGTACTTGGCCCAGCAGAGCCCAATGGAGAAGAGACGGTGTGGACTGGCCTAGCAGCCAGGAGGGGCCGAGGATCGGGTGAGTATATCTTCTTTAATCCGGCCTCTAGACCAGAATGAGCAGTTAACCCTTCCAGTGCGGGGGTAGCCCTACTCCAAGGGTTAATTTTGTTAATTCCTGGAGTTCCTCTTTACAGTATATGTAAACCCAATCACTGAAATCTCTTCTAATCTTTAACCTGTTCATGTCATTTCAAAAATATTTTTTCACTATTTTTAAATATCCAACTCTCATTATTAAAAGAAATACCACGAAGGTCCTTCTGCTGGCACTTGAGTGACAACGCTCTGTCCCTGTGCTGCAATTGTGTATCTGTGTTGTCACCTGGTCACATGGGCTTGTCATGTAGATTATCAGTGACTCTTGCAACATACATGAAGCTGGTCAAACACTGTTAGATTGTTTTCTTTCTCAACAAATATAAATCTAACAGATTCCTCCATCCATACTACACAGCGCAGATGCTCGAATTTCCTGCTGCAGCTATTGTATTCTGACAGTGCAGTTTTGCCGCTCTCAGCTGATTGGCTGCAGTCACTGTTCGGCCGAGAATTTTCGACCTGGCTTCTGGGACTTTCTGAGGACTTCAGGCAGGAGGCTGCCAACAGGGTCACCCATGAAATTAAATTTCAGCTAGTTCATCAAGAAGCAGCCAAAAATCATTCAGTATACTGCCAGATTTATGTAGGGAAGGTCCACTGTTGAGAAATGCCATGCAGCCAACACTGGAGTGTATCTGGATGGGTCCTATCTCTGGATGGGTCCTATCTCTGGATGGGTCATATCTCTGGATGGGTCCTATCTCTGGATGGGTCCTATCTCTGATGGATCCTATATCTGGATGGGTCCTATATCTGGATGGGTCCTATATCTGGATGGATCCTATCTCTGGATGGATCCTATATCTGGATGGATCCTATCTCTGGATGGTCCTATCTCTGGATGGATCCTATCTCTGGATGGATCCTATATCTGGATGGATCCTATCTCTGGATGGTCCTATCTCTGGATGGGTCCTGTCTCTGGATGGATCCTATATCTGGATGTGTCTTATATCTGGATGTATCCTATATCTGGATGGGTCCTATATCTGGATGGATCCTATATCTGGTGGGTCCTATCTCTGGATGTATCCTATATCTGAATGGATCCTATATCTGGATGGGTCCTATCTCTGGATGGGTCCTATCTCTGCATGGTGCTTTACCAAAACTGCTGTTTAGTTAAGATTTACTTTGGTGTGAATTTGCAGGGCTTACTTTTAAAAAGAACAGCGTATTTCTAACGAAGGGTTAATACGACCACACAATGAGCAGAAAACCAGAAGAAGGACCAGGGGGATTCTACAATGCGGAGTTGGCTGGGAGTGAAAGGAACCGACTTAGTAAAGTACACATTTAGGATATCTCGGGGAACAAGACCTCTCATAGACCCCCTGCACCCTCTGCTGGTTGCTTCACCTCTATGCATAGCTTCATGGCATTAAAAGAAGTCCACCCCTTTCGGGATCTCAGAGGACACATATCGGCTAAAGCCGGCCATTCACTATACAACCAGACTATATAATAGCCATACAATTTTTTTTCAATTTACCAAAACTATATAATATAAGGACAACCTAAAAGCTGCAGGGACTGGTAGGGTAGCCAGGCTGGACCGAGGATCATGCGAGTATATCTTTATTAACACTCATAGAGAAAAATGAGCAGTTAACCCTTGCAGTTTGTGTGTGTGTGTGGGGGGGCCCAAATGCAAGGGTTAACTTTTTACATTTCTGGAGTTCCTCTTTAAGTAAATGTGCCCCATTGTACTCTGTTTAGAGAGCAGGAGGACATCCAGTGAGAAGAATTCTAATGAAAATATAGGAAAGGAAATATTTCACTGTAGCCAGTATAAATGTGTCACATGCCAATGATACATATCAGACTGCCAACAGGAAGTGAGAGCGATGAGGAAGCCCGGAGCTGGACTATGACTGCTCTGATTGTTACAGTAATATCAATCAATCTGATAATCTACTTCCTGTCCTGTCTGTTGCAACAGTGCCATAGAAATAGGGATTTGAAAAGTTAACCCTTGCAGTGGGGCTACCCCTGCACTGCAAGGGTTAAGTGCTTGTTTTAGCGAAACAAAGATATCCTCGCCTGATCCTCGGTCCCGTCTGACTGCAAGACCGGTTCCCATTAGGATCCATGACGTCATCACTTCTAATACAGTATATTAGACATGAGGATACCAAGGGACATTCTGCTGCCAGAGCAGAGAGGAAGAGAGTTGAATGGCCATTGCCACAGGACAGAGGATCTGCTTAGTATATCTTCTTATTATCATCCCTAGAGAAAAACGAGCACTTATCCCATGCAGTGCAGGGGTAGCCCCACTGCAAGGGTTAATTTTTAAAAATCCTGGAGTTCTCCTTTAAGACATTTTTCCTTGGCTCACACACAGGGCATGCTGGGACATGTAGATCCATAGAGCACTACAAATGTGCTAAATCTTCTCATACACTAGTTGAATTTTGTTTTTAAAATCCTCCTTTTTGGAACGTTCCTTTGATTTTCTTATAGTGAGCGGGGTCTAATTGATGTTCGCTTTTGAAGATAGTGTTGAGAGGAGCAGGAGCAGAATGCAAGGTTTTTCTTGTTTTGTTTTTTTATCTGAACAAATTTCTTAATCTGAATTTGAGATACGTTCAGGAAAAATCATACGTATTGTAGTGTGCATGTGCCAGGCACAAAGGAGACCTGTTTGATACGTCAGGGATTCCTTTAAGTAGTCGATTTGGGGGGAAATTTTTAAGGGCTTTCCAATTAAAGTAGTTGACTGTATGCTGGTGAGATCGTGACTGTATGCTGGTGAGATCGAATGCTCTGATGAATGAAATTCTAACAGTGTATGGACAGCTCACAGGGAAAATATTAATACCCCGAAGTCAGCCTTCTTTATGACTGTATGGGATGAATACTATACAGTGAGGGGAATTTATCAAAACTGGAGCAGACAAAATCTGGAGCAGTTGTGCATGGCAACCAATCAGCTTCTCTCTTTCATTTTAAAATCTTAACTGAGCAAACTGAAGAGATAAGCTGATTGGTTGCTATGGGCAATTGCTCCAGAGTCTGTCTGCTCCAGTTTTGATAAATTCCCCCCCAGTATGTCTTATCTCACCAGACAACCAACCAATCAGATTGGAATTTGCATAGGAAACTAGCAGTTGGAGGATGAATGTTGGAACCAAATCTCTTGCTATGGGCAGCTATTGTCAACTCTTTTGCTGCCCTTAGTTTCGATCACTTCTACATTCCAAGGGTCCAGACAATTAAAATTTTGGTAAAAATTGATCAAAAATCGATTGGAGAAAAGATAAAATATTATGTCTTGATGGAGCTGTGCAAGCTTTGGTCACACGCAGAAGTCAGCCGTTCTGACTGAGATACCAGTGCTGCTATAGAATGACTCCTGGCATAACATTGAGAAACTGATAAATGACCCTATAGGTTCATCATACTGCATCCTCATGGGTGGTCCTTCAGTAAAATCACATGTGAGAAACTACACGTCGTACATGACACTCTCCATATTAACACCTCCTTTCTTTTCTTTTCCTAGGAGATCCAAGATAATGTCTGAAGAAGATTACGACCCTGAGTTATATCGTCTCGATGTCCGTTCTGATCTGCAGAGCTTCCTGCCTTCACTCATGGGCAGATCGTTGTTGAATGTGTGCCTATTTATGTCTATACAGTATATTTATGTGAATGTAACTGGAACTTTTTATATTAAATGTGTATAAAGATGTTTCCAAACAGTAACCATTCTGTATATAGATGTTGAGTGTTGGTTGGCTGTCATTAAATATATATGTTGATTTGTATAAATGAGTCCTGTTGGCCTTTGTCACCACTGTCCCTTTTTTTGGCTGACCCAAATACATTGGTGTCTATTCTTAAAGTGACCCTGAAAAAAAATGTGCCCAAAATGCAGCCTGCAGAGGAAGATTAATGATGCTCACCTGTTCTGCCAGCCATTTTTCAGGTCTTTGCAACCTGCAACAGAATCGTCATCCGGAAGTGTGTTGTGCCCATAACCTTTGCATGGCGCTTTGACAATGGGGATAATAATTTCATGTATTACAGCCTCTCCAATGGAAACAGACAAAAGCACATTTTAAGTACAGCGAGGAAGAGGTAGAACTTCTGACAACGTTTTTATTTGGGTCTGTAACTTTATGTTTGGTTGATACCTACCCTGTTTCCCTGAAAATAAGACCTACCCCGAAAAATAAGACCTAGTTGTGACCATTCCCAGAGCCGGTGGTGGCATAAGGGGGAACTTGAAGAGCCGCTGGAGGGGCAGGAGAGAATCAGCGGTGCCAACGAAGCCAGCGCTAGAGGAAGCGAGGCGGCACCGGAGGGAGCAGAAGCCTCCTCTATAGCGCCGGCTCCTGTCACAGGCGGAGTGATACCAAATGCACTCTACCTGTGAGGAATCGATAGTGAAAGCGCTTTTCACTCATTCTGGCCAGCGATTGGTTAGCAAATTGCTCTTGGAAAGGTACGGCACCCCTGATTGCCCTGATCACCATATTTTTTTATACAGGAATACATGTAGACTTTTCTACATGAATAAGTGTGGATTATTGTACATAAAAAAAAATAATAAGACCTGCCCCGAAAATAAGACCTTGTGGGTTTTTTTGAGCCCAAAAAAAATATAAGATAGTGTGTTATTTTCGGGGAAACACGGTACCTGCTCCTCCCATTTCTTTAATGAGTGTCACGGGGATAGGAAGTAAAGGTAAATCTCCCCAATGGGAGACAAACATTGTAAAGTATCTTTAAAGCCAAAACTTTTATTTATTTATTTCTCCAATTGTGGATGAAGTAGGAAATGGACAAAACCCCTGTCAGTTTTTTTCTTGCCATATACTATATGTCCCTTTCGCTTCATGCCCTATAGACACAATAGAAAGTGGGAAGAACGCTCTCCAAATAAAGGAAGCACCCACTCAGGCAGTTGTCACCTGATCAAGTGTCCCCATGAAAGATTTTCCTTCTATTCCTGTACTGGTGAATAGTGATGGGCTTGTGCTTGGTGCGAACCCAATTCACACCCAAGCCCACTCAAAACTGTGACTGACAGCCCCCTCCCCCTGGCCCAATCAGTGGTGGCAGACGCATTGCCCGGAGGAGGGTGTCAGTCACAGTTTTGAGAGGACCTGGCGAATTCAGGAGAACTGGGTTTGCACCAAGCCTGAACTCATCACTACTGGTGACAAGTCAATATTTTGGATTTCCCATCACTTGCAGTCAAAGTGAAAGTGGTCACCAGGAGAGAATGAATCTGCAATTAAACACCTCACAACCTCACGCTATTCCCCAAAAAAAAAAGAATTTAAATGTAAGATTACCTTTAGGGTCTGTTTATAAATGTTTTCATACAAGATTCCCACAGCTTTCTCCCAAGACTCACACATTTTTAATTTAATTCAAATGGAAAAACTTGTAAATCCTGGGTGAAAACATTTGTACGGTAAATAGACCCCTCAAATTGGGTCCTTGAATTGAATCCCCAACATGTGCATGGAGTTTGCATGTTCTCCCTGCATTAGCTCAGGTTTTTTCTGTACTGTGGTTTCTTTCCACACTCCAAACACATGCTGGTGGGTAATTGGCTTCTGTCATTATTGGATAGAGTATGTGTGTACGGGTCAAAAATGCACAACTACAACCTCCTATGGCAGAACCCGGTGACACTCTGATGAATGGCTCATACAACTCTGAGAAGCATTTACGGCAGGAGCCAGAGAAGAAGTAACCGTCCAAGGTTGTAAATGTTGGTTATGCGTTTAGATGAAGTACTGAGATCTTGAGGAATGATGAATTAAGTTTTACTTCCTTAGAAGAATATTACATCAGAATACAGCTTTGTACAACTTCCTGTGTATCATAGATAAGTATACATATAGAAAACTAACATAGACTAGCATTGCACTACAGCGCCATCTACAGCTCAAAAGACATAACAGTATATCAGAATGTCAGCAATATGCTGTTGCATTTCCAACAGGAAGTGCACCAGAGATCGCAACACAGCCACATTAGTAGGGATGGGAGGGATTGGAGGGCTTACAATCTAAAAGGGAGTGACATGTGATACATGAGGAGGTAGCTGTGTGGGGATGAATTGTTTGAGAATGTGATGGTTGTGTGGTTAGTTTGAGGTGGGATAGGCTTCCCTGAAGAGATGAGTCTTTAGTGATCACCTAAAGGCAGTCTGAGTGGGAGATAGTGTAAGAGACTCACCGTCTCCCGTCCCGGAATAACGATACGGGACCACGCATGCGCACAACGGGCCAGGGCTGCCTCTCTCAGCGCACGCGCACGTCGGCTCGTGGCTCCTCCTGGCGCAAGCGCAGGAGCCCTCTTAAGACGCGGCCACACGAATCTTCGGCGTCCTACTGTTTGCAACAGTGAACGCCGAAGATTCACGCTCTGCAATCCGCAGACCGATTAGGCGGACCTCTAAACAGCCAGCTATTCCCTCACAGTGAAGGAGCCCCGAATCCTCTACCATCCAGCACAGGGGGACTGACACCCAGGAGCCAAGCATCAATCAGCTAAACACCCACTTGGAGTGCCAGCAGCAGCAAGCCTCACAAACAGCAAGTATCTGCTACTACTCTCCCATTAACCATAACGTTAGCAATTGCTTAAACTGGTTTAGTCATATCATGGGAGAGGCTCTATTGAAGTCCTTGAGGCGAGCATGGGAGGAGTTGACGAGGGAGCTGGAAAGCAGGAGGTCTTTTGAAGAGCGGAGTGGACAGTTAGGGTGATACTTTGAGACCAGGTTGGAGATATAGCCAGGGGCAGAGTTGTGGATGGCTATGTAAGTGGTTGTTAGTATTTTGAATTTTATCCATTGGGCTATTGGAAGCCAGTGCAGGGATTGGCATAGGGGGGTGGAGGATGGACGCCAGTGCAGGGATTGACAGAGGGGGGTTGCAGACACTGAGCGGTTGGTTAGGTGAATGAGTCTAGCAGCTGCATTCATGATAGACTGAAGGGGGGATAGCCTGAACAGTGAATCAGGTATTTTGACAGCAGCACACCCAACGCTGTTAGAATACAAAAGCTCAGAAGGGGGAGGGGGGGCCATGCTAACAAAAGAGAGAAGAACCTCACCGGGTATGGGCAGCTTCATCTGCTCTCTGAAAAGGATCCCACTATTATTATTTACTAATAAGATAACAGATCTGTGACCTTTACAACATACTGCACAATATTACTCACTGCTGTTCCGTTCTTTGGAAATAATCAAAGTAATTTTAGAACTTATCTAGATATACAGTATGTCCTGCTAGTCCACATTTTTACCGTCCCTGCCCCCGCAAAATTCCCGCACTGACAAATGCCCTCAGGAATCATAACAAATGTTTCAGCACTTATATAATGAATGTGTTACTCACTACTAGCTCATTAGTGTGTTTGCGGTGTAATGCCTGACAGTGCTGGATACAGTGCAGATGCAATAAAAGATTTCATTTCAGATTATTAGTTCATTTTATTTTTGTTACTGTACAGCAGTCAGTTTGCTCACAGCCAATCAGGGAGCTATATTTCCTGAATAACAGTGGGCAGAACCAATAGAATTGTGACCTCTTATCCAAAGAAAGCTAAATATAATCGTAACAAAGATATATCCAGAAGTTCTGCACATTTCCCTAGTGCACTATAGTACGGTAACATGGTTACGAGTAACAGCAGATAAAAGCTGTTATTAAAGTGAATGTAAAAGCAAATAAAAACAATAAATGATTAACTGATATCTTATTTATTTTTAAAGATGTTGTGTGCCCTTGCTTGTTTTTGTTTTGCTTTTTTATTCTTTTCTCCAGTTTGATATTGGTGATCCTGCCAGCATATCTGCTTACTGCAGCATGACATGGCAAGACATAAGCTATCACACTACACCTAAGTTGCTACAGCAACTACCAACACTGCCTACCTGTACCCAATAAGAGACCACACCGGGTTGGAATATAAAATGGCTGTAGCAGCCGTTTATTACAAAATAATAATTATCTTATAACAAAATAGGGAATATAAAATGGCTGTAGCATCCGTTTATTACACAATAATAATTTATTTTAACAAAATAGAATATAAATTATTAACTTATACCAGTTTACAGAACATATTACTATTAATAGGGCTGAGGTCTGTGAAGGCGAAACAACTGGCCCCTAGCCGCAACTCACCGGCTCAGGGACGACATAGTACCTAACCGCAGATACCTCTTCCCCTCAATCTTTGACCTCTCTCTGCGGGACCTGCCAGCTCTCTGGACAGCGTACCGACGACGCGTCCAACAGGAGGCATGACACAGCAACTTACCCACCTAGACAGACCTCGCCAACATCTATCACACCCCCCACCTGAGGTTTCCCCCAGGCCCCTGTTTGCCATGCATGCGCATCTATGGCGCAAACACGGCCAAATAGATCCTCAAACCATCTCTGAATTGGTGCTGACACTGTCCTCCCTTCTGGAGGGTGGCTACTTTTGTTCCTCATGGTCCCTGTGTGTGTTGTAAAGTAGTCACCGCTCCAAGCTCGCTCCTTTGATGGACTACAATCTCAATACAAATTAGAAAACGAAACATGAGATTGTAGTCCATTGTGGGAGCGAACTTGGAAGGACAGTGTCAGCACCAATTCAAAGATGATTTGAGGATCTATTTGGCCCAATTGTAAAGTGCTGCGCAAACTGTTGACGCTATAAAAATCCTGTATAATAATAATTTTTGGTACGGACGGTAGGCAGATTTCTAATGAGTG